TTAAATCCTTCAATGCACCTCTTAGCATTTTAAGCTTTGTATATACTGAGAACATAGTGTATCCTTGAATAGAGGATTGCCAGATGTTGGAGACTGTGGGAAGAAAACTGGCATGTTTGGTCCACATTCTAAAAAATTTGAATGGATTTTTCCCTTGTATCAAATCATCATATACTGATACTATTGCTGGAGAGTGGTCTGAGAAGCTTGGGAGCATAAACTCCACATGACTGGAATTGAACATATTAATCCATGCATCATTGACCAAGGCTCTGTCAAGCCTACTCCAGACCCTAGTATTAGCATCCTGCTTATTATTCTAGTTATAAACACATCCTTGAGTTTTCAAATGATTGAGAGTACAATCTTCAATGAATTTGTTGAAGTCTCTAGTATTAGCCTCAGTAAGATTAGTTCCTCCAAGCTTTTCTTCATTGCTTAACATGGCATTAAAATCCCCACATAAGACCCATAGCACATTACCAATATATTGAAAAATATGTTTAAGATCAATCCACAACTCTTTCCTAGCTTCCATTTGATTGAAACCATAGATTGTTGAAATGACACAGTCTAGCCTGCCATCTAAGGACTTGATTGAGCAAGCAACATGTTGACCTCACACTTTAATAACTTGAATATCAAAAAATATTAGGATCCCATAGGATGAGAATTCTAGCCTTCTTAGAATCCCTAGTATTTGACATCCAATTCCAGTTGCTGGCAATCTTCTTAGCAGTTGTAGGTAGCAAAGATTCCCTAATTTTAGTTTCAATGAGAGCTATGAAGGATAGATGATATTGCATTAAGTGATTCCTTACCAAATGTTGTTTTGAGGATTTATTCAATCCCCTCACATTCCAGAAGGACAAGTTCATTGAAAGAGTCCTCCTCTGTCAATTATAGAGGGGTCACATTTACGATTATCCACATAAGTATTGCCTGGAATAGATTTCTTATCTTTGCTACCTTTAACAAGTATCCAGGAATCACCCTTTTTGCGTTGTTGGGCATGCACATGTACATGACTATTATTTTCTTTTTCACTATGATTTCCAAAGTTTTGGTTCTCCTGCAATATCTCTTTGCCTTTAGACCGAGTATCCCCATAGGTAGGGACTTGGATGTGGACAACATGCTTAGGCTAGTGCACAATGCCTCCCAAGCATAAGTCCTTATGATAATCATATTTTATTACAATTTTATACCCTCATTATCTATTTTACATGAATAAATATACCATTAATAAGTGTTATTAGTTTAGTTTGCACATAATTGAATGAAAATATAAATAAATATTATTAAATGTAAAAACCCCTCAAAATCTCTCTTCTCTATTTTGTAGCATTTTAGAAGCCACAAAATCAAGCTCCTTGAAGGCCCAAAGCCCATCAACAAATGACTACACCCAAGGACCGGACTTGGCTGCAAATAATTGGAATGAATTGGGTTTTTATGCAAAGATTTGGATTTTTATGAAGGAGACCGGACTTGTAAAATGAAGTGGACCGGACTTGAATGTGCACAACATGCAGAGGTGGGTTTTCAGTATTCTGCTTTGGAATTGCTACTTCAGTATTTGTTATTCTAGTTATTCCTGCATTGACAAGAGAACCTGTATTTTTAGTAATCCATCTCTAAATCCTTGCTTATCTCTTGCAGAATTTAGTTTCATGAACCACCATTCTACAAATGTCACACCATCTAGGCTTTAGTTCATAATTCACCTTCTAAAGAAACTTCTTTCCATTTGGTCCCTAAATAGAAATTTGATCTAGAAGTGTAGAGGGCATGTTTACTTCAACCAGTACCCTTGCATTTGCAAGTCTCTGCCTATTAGCTATAAGCTTGTCCGTAGCAATTAGCTTGCCTATAATACTAGCAATTTTGTTAATGCCCTTTGCATTCCACAAGTTAAACCTCAAGCATGGTAATTGTATCCACATAGAGTAGACACATTTATTTCTCTTATCTATATCATCATCAATAGTCCAAGGCTTTAGGAGAAGAGGCCTAGACCCAAAAAACCAAGGTCCATTTTCCAAAATGCCTCTCATTTCATCCTTACTTTTAAAGTTAAATAGAAATAGACCAGCGTTGAGAAGACACACTTCAGGCACAACCAAATTCCCCCATACTTTCAGCACATAAGACTCCATTGCTTTAAATTTAGTATTTAGTACCATAACCTGACCAATTAGAGAAAATTAGCAAATTGAAACCCCCGCATTCCACTCATCCTCTTCAAATGTCACTGAATCTTTTACAACTAAAGGCACATAATTCAAATCAAGACCACTCCCTAGCTTCTTATTATCAGAGAAGAAGCTCACCCAACTTTTCTTTGTGTTGTTAGCAAGAGCTGGTATAGACGAATCAATGGAAGTCTTCAGTGGCAGGAAATTATGATTATCACCACTTAGAATTCCAGCATTTGAGTAATTTTTGGGTAAAACCTCAACAGATTTGATCACATTAGAAAATTTATCGACAGAATCCAATGGAACAGTAACTGTATCCGGAATCGATGCAAAATTCAAAGGATCAAGGCCTATTTTTCTTTTAGAAATAGCAGAAAGATGCTGAGACGGGGAAAAAAATCAGTTGATACATCTTCCAATTCAAGATCATCAGCCTAAGAAACCCTAGAAGAACTACAAGCACTATTACTAGAGTACGATGACTTACTGAGATGACGCGATTGAACTCCGATCATCTCAGGCGTTCTCTGAGAGTGAAGAGAATCCATCAAGAAATTGTTAGAGCTAAGAATATCCAGCATCGACTTCTTCTTCTTCTCCCCTCTAGGAGCCGTTGACCCCATAACATCGAGATCCAATCCTACATCATCTTCAACAAAACTTGTACCAGATTGATCCTCAGAAGATTGCAAACAAGAATTTGAAGATCTCAATCCTATATTGAAGATCTTTTCCCCACTTTTTTCTTCTTTTTTGCCATCAAAAACTTGGTGGGGGCGCAAGTTAGCAAGGCTGAAATCGTCTGCTAACGTGCACCAAAGAATACCACCCCTCTAAGTACTTCATAATGGGTATAACCGTTTGGCCAAATTTATTAACAAATTTTTTTAAATTGCCTAAACCGCCATTTCGCCCCCAAATCGATCATTGCTACTTTCAAATATCAAAACTCCTCCAATTGCTTCCTCCCCTCATCGTCATCGAGCACCAAGGCCGATGCTATCTTTGTCGTCATTGAGCACTGAGTCCCCACCCCCGCCTCCTCGTCCTCCCATGTCGTCGAACATCGCGACCAGCAAACACTATATAGCTTGTCATCATATACCGAGTCCGACAAATTAACGCCTCATCCTCCTCGTGCTCCTCGTCGAACATCGCATCCTCCACACTCTTGTCTTGCACCACCGCGGCTCCGACAGCCGCCATCGACCACCTAATTTGATCATCTAACGTGTAAGTACTCCCTTCTCTCTCCTCATAACCCTAACCCCAAATTTGACCATTTAACCATAGTTTTTTCTCCTCCAACAGTAAATTGATCCCGACAAATTTATATGTTTGTCTACTGATAAGATTATCATTATTTTTTGGTTTAGATCTAATGTTGATACACTTATATGTCTGAGGAAATTTTTTTATTAATTTGATTTGTGGATGTCTGAGGAGATCATATTTGTAAAAACTTGCATAAAACTAAAAACCAAATAATTAGGCAAATCTAAAATAGCCAGATACCACATTCATCAAGAGTATGTCAGTATTCACTTAATAAGAATTATATATGGTTCGAGCAATTACGTGGTTTTAAGTTATAGTATCAGTTCAACAATATTTTTATGATTTTAGCTGTTCAGGTTCACTCTTCCTTAGTGCATATATATGCTTCATATGTTTAGCGTGTCATGCACGTGAATTAATGTTGGTCACTTACATGTGTTACAGACCTGTAGGCAGTTGACTGCAGGTATTCGGTACAAGATCTACTAGTTTCTACCGTAAGCTGAATTACAGGTCTCTTTTAGTTTTGGTGTTGATGTACATGCCATTATAGTTTCTGTACATTTCATAAGTATGCTGATACACTTGCAACACCTCTAAGGACATCTTTTTGTAATCGGTTCCCTTGGACTTGGTAGCGTTGTCATCGGCAAGTTACTTAAATCGCCATTTCTTGCAGGATAGTCTTTCACCTTTAACTAATTAGGAACTAATAATCAGTGGGAACGTTCTTCAAAAGCTACAAAATCAACTAATTATTTATGGAGTTAACGTGGTAATTGATCTATGGGTTCATTGCATATACTCTCACCTACTAAGATGATGTAGCCAATTATATCCCCCTAAATCTTTTCTTACCGCATACGCCTCATGGATCTCAGACAATGTTACCCTTCCGCAATCATTTGGATGACCATTAACTAGTAAGCTACTATTTAGCTAATAAGGAGGTGGGGAATAAATGCAACGTAATTAAGAAGCGTGGGTGGGAATAAATGCAATCTCGCTACTGTAGAAAGAATGGTTGGATCATCATAAAAGCATGAATTTGAATCATAAACGCTTATCAAGAAAGAAAGAAAATTAAAGAACCTTGCAAAGGAATTTCTTCCTCTTCTTTCTCATCTTCTCCTGTTAAGAAATCAAGAGAGGGATTACAATGAATGGGAGCTGAGTTAGATGTCAGAATAGTTTTTTTATACTTTGACATGAAACTTTTATTTAAAAATGTCTCTCAAATTTTTACTATATTTTTGGGCGGTATACAGGTACAACAATGCGCAATTTTATTTGAGTTTCAAATTCATATAATATAAATTGATAATGTATTTGGGGACACACACACACCGCCCCGGTTGACACCGGATATTGAGACGTAGGCAATAATGTAGAACGGATGTCAAGTTGCTGTGTACAGGCTGGTAGGAAGAAGGCTCCACGGAAAATACTGGTGTACAATTATTAGTATTTCTTGAGGTTTATATCAGGAGATTGGATTTAGATCTCTTCAATGTTAAGACCATTATTTTTAATCACAACCATTAATTATCTTAGTAGATGATTATTACTAATTCTAAATTTAGCATTTATCATGCTCTATAAATTTACTCATTCTTATTTTGCACTCAAGCAGAATAATCACAAACATCCACTAAATAATAGACAAAGGAGATCGATGTAGTGATCTGCCCACTACCTATTGGTAGTGGAGAGGATTCGAACCCAAGAGATTACCTCAGACTTTGACTGGTTGATTATGGGAAACAATTGGTCATTGCCGTTTGGATTTGATGTGAAGAAAGGGGAGAGTGGGTGCATGTAGAAAGAACAGGGGCATTGCGGTTACTAGAGGAAAATAAGCACGCTTGTGGCATAAGTAGCTTGCACACCGCACACGCTATATTAAACTCAACTTAAAGCTATAATCTTTACTTCAAACAATGATTTTCGATCTTATCACCTCACCTCACCTCACGTTCCCTTCTACTGGATCATGCCTAATCGTTGAGTGTTAATTCCCCCCAAATTAAACAGCTAATCAAGGACAGGAAGTTTATTCTTCCTTCTCTTTTTATAATTTAAGATTTCAGAACGTTTGACTCAGCACCAATCATCCATTCCAACTACATAACACAATAGCAAGCAGTACGTACGTATGTCGAGGGATAAGCATCTAGAAACTAGCAAGTCAGAAATTATGGGGAGCAGCGGGAAGCGGCTGAGATCAAAATCAACAACCGTGCTCTCTCCCCTCCTGCTTCTCCTCCTCCTCCAAATCCATCAAACCCTAACCCTAGCTACCAATGAGACTAGCCCTAAGGTGCCAGCCCTCATAGTGTTTGGAGACTCAGTTGTGGATCCAGGCAACAACAACGCAATCATCACTACAACCAGGTGCAACTTCCCGCCATACGGCAAGGATTTTGTTGGCCATCGGGCCACAGGAAGGTTCAGCAACGGGAAGACTCCCTCCGACCTCTTTGGTAAGTATCCTACATCTCTTCCAAGTATGTAAAGATATTCCCCTGATGTTAATCCTGACACGAGCTAGCCTCTCAGATTGTTCCCATATTAATGTTCACTTGGGATGTATAACTCCTACCCTAATCGAACTAAAAAGCTAACAACCAGTTTTGATAAGCCCTCTCGATAACATGCTAACCTCTCAGTAGGTCCAGCCACTTTATGTATATAACGTGTAATGTAGAAACGTTCGATAAGGGGCACGATTCAAGAATTTGAATTTCACTGACATAGCGTACTAAAATTCCAGCATCTCAACTGGGGATAAAGGAGTACTTACCAGCATATCTCGGGACGAAATTGAGTCGCGAGGACCTCCTCACTGGTGTAAACTTCGCATCTGGCGGCTCTGGATATGATCCCCAAACTGCCCGTTTAGTGGTGAAACTTCTAACCCTCATAAACCATAGAAACTTATTTTCCGAGATTTCATAAAATCCTCAGTTGGATATTTGTTGTTGCATGCAGTCAGTTTTAAGTGCGACTGATCAGCTAAACCTATTCAAAGAATACAAGGAGAAGCTGAAGATCATTGCAGGAGAAGAAAGAGCAGCAGACATCATCACGAAGAGTATATATCTCGTTGTCTTGGGAACTAATGACTTATCAACCACTTATTTTACCATGCCACTTCGAAAATTGGAGTATGATCTTCCTTCTTACATCAAATTTGTGGTACAACAAGCTTCCAGCTTTTATCAGGTACATCTATCCATTTAGTTTGTGTTTCAGACTCCACAAGGTAGCTTTTGATAAAAATTTTGGGTTTTTCTTTTTACGATATTAACGCCCCAAATCCTTCACATTCTGAAATTAGCCCCCAAAATCTTGATATTTTGAGATTAGTCCCCCAAAATCTTTTATATGTTTTGAAATTAGTCCTTCTAGTTAGCAACTAGTTAAAATATTTGGGCGACTGATTTCGCAATTTTTTTTTGTCAATGAAAAAGCTTTTATTCATTTACCAATATGAGAATTATGTACTTCAAGATTTCTCAAAATTGAGAAAGGCAACCTGAAAACAGATATCAATGTGTACAACTACATGTACATGTTTTACAATGTAAGAATCCAAGCTTCTTTTTCAGCTAAAGTAGGAGAGTTGGGAAGAATTGTCATAATATCAACTTTGATACTTTTAACCAGAAGCTCCACATATCTGTGCTTTTGCTAGAATATCCTCATATTCCGTTCATTCCAAATTGAGTAAATAGCAGCTGATAGAGCCATCTTTTTATTTTTTTGTTTAAAACCCTTCCCTCTAAGCCTTGAACAAAACCAGTCCATCAGTAAATCCCAATTACATGTCTTCCAAGAGAATTGAAGTCAGTCCATGATGCAATTCCACACATCCCTTGAATAGGAACACACAAAAAATAGATGGTTTCTGCTCTCCAAATATGCACCAGTGCATAATGTGCATTGATTTGTATTTATGATACCTCTCCTTAACAATCTATCCTGAGTTAGCAGCCTGTTATTTACAGCCAACCAACTGATAAACAATTTCGCAATATTTAAAAGATCTAAAAGACTAATTTTTAAAGGGAAATTTGTGTTAATGCCCAAAAGTAATAACCTCATGTGACCCGACCCCTTCACTTTTTCCATTATGGTTTAGCCCCAAAAAGTATCACATCATGTGATTCACCCCTTTTTCATGTGATTCAGCCCTTTACTCTATGCCAACAAAGCATAAAGAGAAAGAAACAAATATAAAAGCTAAAAATATCCTTATTTCCTCCTCTCTTTTCCTTCTCTCTAGATTTAAGTCTGCTCCTCCTTTCTCCTCTCTTTTTTGTTGGCCTCTTTGTTTTGATGATGTTTAACAAATAATTTACCACTAATGTTGTTTGTCTAGTGTTGGTATATTTCTATTTATTATAGACAAACAACGAGTTGGAGGATGGATGGAATCGAGCCTTAACGATCATATCCAATGGAGGTTGGCGGAGTTGTGGAGTGAAGCAACGTCAATTCAAGTTAAAGATCAAGTTCAAGCTTCATCCGTAAGTGTACCAAGTCGAGCTTATTGAAGATCAAGATCTAGCTTGGGTAACTTACTTTAGGTTTTATATTATGTGTGTTAGTACCTTAAGCTCAATTATCTATACACACACATTTATTGGTTTCTTCGTGTATGGAAATTCAATTTGAGAAATTCTTTTTCTAACATGTTTGTTTTCATGTTTATAAATATTTCGTAAAGTTTCATCAAGTTTGGAATTGATTTGTTATGTTTAATGAAATTTACAAAATCATGTTTTTCGTTTGTGCATGTTCGTGCATGTTTTACAAAACAGATGAGTTTTCATAAATAGGAAGTGATATTCAAGAAATTCTTTCTTTTACATGTTTATCTACATGTTTAGAAACTTTTCACAAAATTTTACTATTTTTAGAATTGATTTACTATGCCCAATTGATTTTATAAAATCGTGTATGTTAACAGTTTTTCAGAAACTGTAAATTTGTGTTCAAATATTTATTTCTCTCAACTGGGAAAATATTTTTCAGAAATTATTTCTCTGACATGTTATTCTACATGTCTAGAACATTCTCACAAAATTTCATAATTTTTAGAGTTCATTTACTATTTTAAATTGATTTTACAAAATAGCTGCGCACTGCTACAGTAACTCCGGTCGACCGGCACGGTCGATCGGTCGACCATACCGGTCGACCGAAGTTACTGTAGCAGCCGACCGTTGCTACAGTAACAGCTAGTTCTGTTTTTTGTTTATTTTAAATGTTTTGGGGTGTTTTTCTTGGTTTTTGGACTTGTTTCATGAGCCTATATATACCCCATGCCCTCATACTTCTAAGAGGACTCAAGAAATGTTTTAAACAAGTTTAAAGAGTTTTAAACAAGGGTTTAAGTGTGTTTTAGTGTTTGTTTGGTTTGAAGATTGTTTTCACAAGTGAAGGAGATCATCTTCTTGTTTGGGCTCCAATCTCCATCTCTCCATCTTGTCATCTATTGGAGAAGTTTTCTAAACTCTATCTAGCTTTACATTTGTTTAGTTATTTAATTATCATTCTTTAAAGCTAGTTTCTATATTGAGTTTAGATTTGATTATATTATCTCATTGTTACACACACCCACTTGAGCTTATTGTATTTGCATACATAGTATATTAGGGTTGTGAGAGATTGTAACATTGAGTTTGTGCTTAATTGAGTTCTCATCTATTGTAGAGAACAAATTTATATTTGTTACATTGTGAGTGGTGTAAGGTTTTCGGTGAGCTAGAAAACCGAGTGTGTTGTGAAGTTTTCGGTGAACTAGAAAACCGAGTGTGAGGAGTGACGTTGTTCGGTGAGCGTTGAAAACCGACACTGTGAGGTGTAAACGTTATTCGGGTGAGCGTAGAAAACCCGGTTGTGATAGTGGATTTCTCCCCGGGAGTGGGGAGCGGAGACGTAGGACGGAAGGTCCGAACTCCGTGATCATATAGTGTGTTTGAGTGTGCTTTGGCGTTCATTTATATTTATGTTCATATCTTATATCGCCATTGTCCATAGCTCATTATTTATATGATCCACTATCTAGTTCATATTGTTTACCCCTTGTGTTAGTTTATATATCCTTATCATATATTGCTTATATCTCTTTGCTAGGATATTTCTTGTTGTTCATATTGCTTATCCTAGCTCATATAACTTGTTGTATTTCATACTTGCTAGGATAACTTGTTAATTAGTTTTAATTAGCATTTAAATCGGATTAGATTAGCATAAGACCCTAAT